ACCCAAATAGAAACCCTGTACCATAACCACACAGCAGGATTGCCCCTTCCCTGCCTCCCAGCCTCTAAACATTCTATTACCAGCGCCTTTCTACCTACCCAAATAGAAACCCTGTACCATAACCACACAGCAGGATTGCCCCTTCCCTGCCTCCCAGCCTCTAAACATTCTATTACCAGAGCCTTTCTACACACCCCAAATAGAAACCCTGTACCATAACCACACAGCAGGATCACCCCTTCCCTGCTTCCCAGCCTCTAGGAGCCACCATTCTTTTCTCATCCCAATACATTTGTCTACTGTAGGGACCTCGTAGTAACAAAATCTTACAATTGTTGTCCTTTGGAACTGGCTTCTTTGATTGAGTGGAACGTTTTCAGGGTGCAGGTGTGTCGGCTCTGTGCATGTCAGAACCTCCCTGCTCCACGGCTGACTGACAGTCCTCTGTATGGCTGGGCCAAGTTTTGTTTCTCATTCATGACTGGTGGACACTTGAGTTGTTTCCATTATTTGGCTTATGCACAGTGCTGCTGTGAGCATTCCGTGCAAGTTCCTGTGGGGACTACGTGCTCAGTTCTCCTGGGGGTGCACCTAGGAGTGGAACCGCCCTGTCAGACAGTGACTGTGTTTAACCCTTTGAGGCAGCACTGCACTGTTTTCCCTGGCAGCCGCACCATTTTGCCTTGTCACCAGCGCTGTGTGAGGGTTCCGGTTACCCGTCCCCACCAACACCAGCTGTTTTCTGGCTGTGATGCTGGTCATCCTGGTGGGAGAAAAGTGGGACCTCTCTGTGGTTTTGATTTGCATTTTCCTGATGACTCATGATGTCAAGCATAATCTCACCTGCTTCTTGGTCAGTCATTTGTCTTCTTTGGAGAAACGTCCATTGGGATCCCTTGCCCAGTTATTTGTCTTTTTTTTTTTTTGATACGGAGTTTCACTCTTGTTGACCAAGCTGGAGTACAACAGTGCAATCTTGGCTTACCGCAACCTCCACCTCCCAGGTTCAAGTGGTTCTCCTGCCTCAGCCTCTGAAGTAGCTGGGACTACAGCCATGCGCCACCACACCTGGCTAATGTTTTTTTTTTTTTTTGTATTTTTAGTAGAGACGGGGTTTCTCCATGTTTGTCAGGCTGGTCTTGAACTCCCAACCTCAGGTGATCCACCCACCTTGGCCTCCCAAAGTGCTGGGATTACAGCCTTGAGCCACCGTGCCTGGCAGGGTTATCTGTCTTTGTATTGTTGAGTTGTAAGAATTATTTTTATATTCCAGATATAAGCCCATTATTAGATATATGATTTGCTACATTTTACTCTCATTCTTTGACTTGTCTTTTCACTTTCTCTCTCTCTCTCTCTCTCTTTTTTTTTTTTGAGATAGAATCTCACTCTGTTGCCCAGGCTGGAGTACAGTGGTACAATTTCAGATCCCTCCAACCTCTGCCTCCCGTGTTCAAACAATTCTCATGCCTCAGCCTCCTGAGTAGTTTGGATTACAGGTGCAAGCCACCACGCTTGGCTAATTTTTGTATTTTTAGTAGAGAAGGGGTTTCACCATGTTGGCCAAGCTGGTCTCAAACTCCTGACCTCGGGTGATTGTCCCGCCTCCACCTCCCAAAGTGCTGGGATTATAGGGGTGAGCCACTGCGCCTGGCCTGTCTTTTCACTTTCTTGATGGTGTCCTTTGAAGGTCACGAAATGTTCCCAGTTTTGATCCAGTCCAGTTGATTATGTCTCCTGTTGCTTGTGCTTCTGAATTGTGCTGTCCTTATCCTGTTGCCTTTGTTCCTTGTGAGGTGACATAGCGAGGGGACCTTTGCAAGCCTCTCGCATCCATAAATATGTAAATCCCTTTCCCAGCAGCACTGCTTCTTCCCTGTGCAGAACATCTCTCTAGGAACAGAAAGCATTCCAGACTTCCCGTCTGCTGAGGGAGTGAGCAGTGCTCCAGAAACTCGATGCCTTTTTTTTTTAATCTTCCTAATGTGTGACTGATTGATTGATTGAAAATGACAAATATAGGCCAAGCGCAGCAGCTCACACCTGTAATCCCAGCACTTTGGGAGGCCAAGGCAGACGGACCACTTGAGGTCAGGAGTTCGAGACCAACCTGACCAACATGGAGAAATCCCATCTCTACTAAAAATACAAAATTAGCTGGGCGTGGTGGTGCATGTCTGTAGTCCCAGCTACTCGGGAGGCTGAGGCAGGAGACTCGCTTGAATCACTGTGCAGGAGGTGGAGGCGGCAGTGAGCTGAGACCGTGCCACTGCACTTCAACTCCAGCCTGGCAACAGAGCGAGACTCCGTCTCAAAACAAAGAAAGAAAGAAAATGACAACTGTAAGTTGTATATGTCCATGGCACATGATGTGACGTTTTGAAACACGCCCACACTGTGGAATGGCCAAATGAGGCTGATCGCTACGTGCATTTCTCCTCACGTCTGTCATTTTCCAGCGACGCCTGGCGTCTCACCTTGACTGAAATGTGGCCTTGTTGTTGCAGTGCAGAGACACGTGGCCACTCTCCATTTCTGTCCGTGGGGCTGAAGCTCCACGTGCCTATGAGGGGCTCCAGATCTCTCATGCTTTGCAGCTGCTGATTCCCCATTTCCCCCACACAAATGCTACAGACAAGAAATAAACATTTAAATACAGCTTTCAGGCTGCTCACAGTGGCGCACACCTGTAATCGCAACACTTTGGGAGGCTGAAGCAGGAAGATCACTTGAGCCCAGGAGTTAGAGACTAGCCTGGCAACATCGGGAGACCCTCTTTCTACAAAAAATAAATGAAGGCTGGGCACAGTGGCTCATGCCTGTAATCTCCACACTGTGGGAAGGTGAGGTAGGAGGACTGAGCTGAGCAGTTTGAAACCAGCCTGGGCAACACAGCAAGACCCCATCTGTACTAAAAACCAAAATAGTTAGCCAAGCATGGTGGTGCATCTGTAGTCCCAGCTACTCGGGAGGCTGAGGATTACTTGAGCCCAGGTGGTCGAGGCTGCAGTGAGCCATGATCACACCACTGCACCCCCGCCTGAGCGACAGAGCAAGACCCTGTCTCTAAAAAGAAAAATAGGCTGGATGCAGTAGTGCACACCTGTGATCCCAACACTGGGAGGCCGAAGCAGAAGGATCGCTTGAGCCCGGGAGTTTGAGACCAGCTTAGGCAACAAAGTAAGATGCTGTCTGAATAAAATAAGTAAATAGGGCCGGGCGTAGTGGCTCATGCCTGTAATCCAAGCACTTTGGAGGCCAAGGAGGGCGGATTAGCTGAAGTCGGGAGTTCAAGACCAGCCTGACCAACATGGTGAAACCCCGTCTTAAAAAACAATAGTAAATAAATAAAAATAAATACAAGATTTTAATTTTGCCTTGGTTAATCATAGATGATTTGATTATCTATGATAATAGATACATTCACCTTGAAATATTTTTGTTTGGTTGGGTTTTTACTTAGCAGTGTCTATAAATGAAATGATAACCTTTATTTGGGTGTAGGTGACAAATTCAAAAATAAAATATTCATAAGGAATTCACCGTAGGAGTCCCTGGAATAGGGAAAGTAATATTTTATGTTCCTGGGAATGAGGCAGGAAGGCTCTGGTACGGGGAGGCGTGCGTCTTTCTCACCTGCTCTGCTCTTCTTCCTTCTCGCCAGGACTGGCACAGTCAGTGAAAGGCAGTGAGAGTCAGAGGCCAGCCCAGGCCCCAGGGTGGGTCTCATGGCCAGCCTGCAGCCTCCCTCTCCCTGCCCCCATTCACCCAGCCTCTTGTCGGCCTCCACCTGCCCTCTGACCTCCTGGCCTGCCTCCCTCTGGCCTCCCCATCTCTGTCGCCTTGATTAGCAGAAGAGAACAATCTACACTTCCTGCTGGTTACTTGCAATTCTGGAGGCCTTTGTTTCTCCCTGGGAGGAGGGCTCAGGAAGGGGTTTTGAGGCGCCCCGCCTCTGTCCATGCATGGATCCTCTCCACCAGCCTAGGACTCCAGAGCAGGGCACAGGGGAGCCGCTGGGGCCAGCTGGGCACGGTGGGAGGAGCAGCAGCCTCGGTGTGGGGCGGAGGGCTGCGGGCATTTGTGTCCAGCTGGGTAGGAGGCCCTGACCCCTGACCCCTGACCCCGGCTCCCCTGTGCTTTGCTTGCACTTAAGTGCTTCCTGTCGGTTCCCGAGGACCTGCTCCAGCCCAGGCCATGGCCTCAGTCCTAACACTGCCTGTGAAATGGCTCCTAGGTGCTGCAGGAACCCGTAGAGCCGGCTGCTCTGCAGCTCGAGCTTCCCCGTGAGGTGGACCAGGTACACCTGGAGGTTTTGGAGCTGCAGAAGCAGGTGGCTGAGCTGGGGAAGCATCTCAGGATAGCCCACCACTGGGGAGCGGAGCCTTCAGGAAGGAAGCAGCCCTCAGCCTTGGACGCCGTGGTCCTCGGGAGAGAGGTGGGTGCCCGCCAGCTCCTCCTGCCACCCGCCTGCTCCTCCTGCCACCCGCCTCTCGGGGCTCCTGCTGCAGAGGCCGTCCTTGCCTGTGCTCTGCCGGCAGTGCTGTCTGTGTGCCCTGGGAGCTTCGGTGGGACGAGGGCTGCAGCGAAGGCCGTGCCTGGAAGTGGGCCCTGCTCCACCTTTTCTCCCTCTTCCCCCACCTTCTTCCTCTGCCCACTTCCTCTTCTCCTGCTCCTTCACCTTGACACACTGTTGGTGGGGGCGGCCCATCCGAGTCCTCGCTCCAGCTAACAGCGTCTTGTGTTGGAAACTCACTCGTTGAAGGCAGCTCATGTCTGCTTTAATACAGGTCCTTGACCGCCTGCTGAGGGGTATCTGCACAGCCCTGCCTGCCCCATGCCGAGCAGTGGGTCCTCTCTGGGTTGGGGAGGCACATGTCCCTCACTGCTGCGTTCAGAGCCACGCAGCTGCTCCAGGCCATGGCTGTCCCATCCTGGTCCTAGTCAGGCCCTTGGCCCCGAGGGACTGATCTCCAGCTCCATGGCTGGGTTTGAGCCATAGCTCTGAGCTGTGGAGAGGGCCCCAGGCCCTGATTCTGCTGCTTGGCAGAGCCCACCAGCAGGGCCCACTTCTTCCTACCTAAGGCCAGAGGAAAAGGCTGTGAAGGACAGGCTGCCCAGCCTCCCTGACTGTGTACCCCAGACTGTTGGTAACTGGGGTAACTGTAGTGGGGCACCCTGTTGCTCCCCCACGCGTCTCCCGCCCACCTGGGCGCTGCGTTGCTCCCCCACGCCTCTCCCGCCCACCCGGGCACCCTGTCGCTCTCCCACACTTCTTTTACCCTCCTGAGCACCGTGTGTTCTAGGACACGGCGGGCGCCCCCTTGGGCAGCGAGGGGCCCCAGGAGCTCTAACTGGCAACACTTTCGTAGCCCACTGTCTTCCCACTTGTTTAGAGGGAAGGGACAATAATTTATACAAATAAGCAGAATTTTACCTTTTTTATTTGAGATAGAGCCTCTCTCTGTCGCCCAGGCTGGAGTGCAGTGGCATGATCTCAGCTCACTGCAGCCTCCACCTTCTGGGTTCAAGCATTTCTCCCACCACAGCCTCCCAAGTAGCTGGGATTATAGGCACCCACCACCACACCTGCCTAATTTTTGTATTTTCAGTGAAGACGACATTTCACCATGTTGGCCGGGCTGGTTTTGAACTCCTGGTCTCAAGTGATCTGCCTACCTCGGCCTCCCAAAGTGCTGGGATTACAGGCATGGGCCACCGGGCCTTGCCCAAAAGCAGAATTGTACGTTGAGGAATTAAATCCCACAGTAGGCAGACTGGGAGCTGAAGCCACCTGCAGCCCAATTCCGGTTATTGGCGCACAGGCACAGGCAAGGCCAACACTCTGGGCTTCTGTGTCTACCTGCATGGATGCGGCCGTTGGGCTGCAGGCTCCTCTTGGGTCTGAGCGGCCTGTGACCTAGGCAGCAAGTGAGTGGCCCACCACGGCTCTGTCCTCTGCCAAGCAGCACGGCAGAGCCCCTGGAGGCGAGGGCAGGCCCAGGTCCTTGCTGCTTGCCGCTGGAAAGAGCCCAGATGGAGAAGGGAGGCAGGAAGGTGGTGCTGCTGGCTGCATCAGGGCTGGGCCCTCAGGGAGAGGATAAATGTGTCCGTTATGTTGGATGTAGAGAGACGTGGTTAGAGCTGTCTGTGTACCTAATCCCTGCTCTGTCCCCTGAGAGGGCCTGCAGCCTGGACTCAGCCGGTTGTTCCTGCTCTGCTCACTAGAGCCCCGGAGCTCCAGCACAGAGGCAGGTTTGGAGGGCACTGGAACTAGCTGAAAGGGGTCACCACCGACCAGATCTAGGCCAACAGGCAGTGATGTTGAAGACCACAGTCCACTGACCCAACCAGGAAATCATGGGTCCATGCCAGTAGCAGTGGACAGATCAGTCCAGGGAACGGGGAGCTCCTCACACGAGGGTGCCAGCCAAGGACGAAGATGGGAACAGTGCGCTGGGCGATCACAGATGGGCACTGACTCAGAGGGATTCCCATCGGACGGTGGGAAGCAGCATCTCCCCACACATGACTTCTTATTTCCAAGGGAAATGCTGACTTTCAGTGGAGCAGCCTGTTGGACCCCAGCTTACCTGAGTGGTCAGAACTCCCATCGCCGGTGCTGGGATGCGCTGAGGTCACGTGCCTCTGGGCGGGTCGCACGGAGACGGCACAGACTGACTCCTGGGGTCCCTGCCAAAAATGCAGAACCTGAGCTGAAGCACAAGGAAGCCTCAGGCAGGCCCAAACAGAGGAACATGTGCAGATTAGCTGTCTAGTTGCTCAGTGGGCAGCCAAACGCACAGGGAAGCTGGAGAGCCACTCCAGTTAGGAGACCTGGGAGACCCCACATAGAAACGCCACTTGGGCTGGGTGTGGTGGCTAAAGCCTATAATCCCAGCACTTTGGGAGGCCGAGGTGTATGAATCATTTGAGGTCAGGGGTTCGAGACCAGCCTGGCTAACATGGTGAAACCTTGTCTCTACTAAAAATTCAAAAAATTAGCCAGGCATGGTGGTACGCACCTGTAATCCCAGCTACTGGGAGGCTAAGGCCGGAGAATCGCTTGAACCTGAGGCAGAGGTTGCAGTGAGCCAAGATTGCACCACTACCCTCCAGCCTGGGTGACTGAGTGAGACTCCATCCCAAAAAAAAAAAAGAAATGCCATGTGGGACCCTGGATCCTGCACAGGAGAAACAGGCATCAGGGCATTATCTGGACAATTGGTGACATTTGCACACGGGCCATGGACCAGGTCACATGTTGTGTGCACCCACCCAAGTACTGAGGCATGACGTGGCATCTTGTACCTCCTGTCGTCCAGGAAGCCTGTGCAGGGCGGGTGAGGAAGTGCACGGGGGCCCAGGGACTGTCCCACAGCACCCCTGACAAAAACTGGTCCCCTTCCCTGGCCCCAGCCAAGGAGCCACGAGTGCAAAGCTGGGGCCAGGTGTGTGCGGAGGCACGTGTCCCCCTTCTCCCGTGGTAGAGGGAGAGCCTGTGGATGACGGCGGGGCGCTCTGCTCCCAGGCAGGCCCCACTGGGCTGGGTTTGGGCTTCCCTGGCTACACCACCCACATCAGCTGCCCCTAGTCCTTAAAACTTAAAACTTTCCCAGGCACTGGCCGCCTGGGCAGAGTTGAGCGATGTGTTATGTCCCTGGGTCCACTGGGGGGCAGTATCGGCCATGGCGTTGGCGCGGGCTCTGCCGGGAGGTGTTGGAGTGCCCGCATGGGGAGGTGAGTGCCGGCCAGGCTTGATGGAACCCCCTGTGCCAGGCTCAGGCCTCAGCCTCTGAGAAGGACTTCTCTGTGGTCACTCACTCACATATGTCCTTAAGACATGAAGACATTTCAGCAGACCAAACTTTCCTTAATTGCCTTCTAATTGTCCAGATACATGGAGACATTTTCCCCTCACCAGGGGGTACAGGGGGAGTCCCAGGCATTGGGGCAGATGGGTGGACAGCTACTGCTACTCCGCTAGGGGAGGTGGCCCCTGGAGCACACAGTGGTTAAGATATTCCTGAGTGTATCTCAGGCTGGAGAAATCTTATTTTGTGGAAAGATTTTAGAGAATCATCAAAATAAACTTTTACTAAATAAAATTTGACCAGAAACTGAATCCAAGAGAGGTAGGATCATTCACCACCTTCCCTGCAGGGCACTGTGTGCAGAATCACATGGCTAGGACATGGGCCATGAGCCATGCCCTCCTTTGTGTGCCTCTGTGGTCAATGGCAAGAAGGCCACTCAGAGCCCCTCGAGCCTGGTACCAGCCACAAGGGCCCGGGGCAACATCAGGCCATCTTTGCCAGGAGATGGGACTGCTTTTGAAGAGGAAATTTTCTCTTCAATCTCTTAAGTGTTTTGAGATTTGCAAAGTCCGTTTTCAGGACTGTTCTTTCCTCAGTTAAAGTAACAAAATAACCCAGTGTGTTCCTGTAGAAGACCCAGAGCTTCAGAACCAGACTTGGGATTCTCACCTGCCTGGCCGCCCTCCCCCAGCTCCAGGCCATCTGCCGACTGTTTTACCAACAGGCATCCCTTCCTCGGGATCTGCTTTGGCCTCTCCCAGGCCCAAGAGCCCATTCCTGTCCATCCTGGCAGGGCCATGAGTGCGCCCTCCTCCGCACTTGCCAACCGTCGGGGAGAGAGTTGCTCCCAGGGCAGGCACAAGGCCCACTCTCTGGAGGAAGCCAGTCGGGACTCAGGCCCTCCCTGGGGCTGCCCTGCACCTGGCCTCAGCTGGGGCCTGCAGCACCACAGAGTTTTCTCTGTCCAAGAGAAAGGCAGACGTCTTTCCTCTTTGCTATGTCATCCCTGTGGCCCCCGAGTGCCCCACACAAGCTTGTGACGAATGTCCGGAGGCACTGCATACAGTGGCCATGCCCCAGGCCATCCGAAGAACAGTAGCACCTGGAGTGCAGCAGCGCCTGCCAGCCCTGGAAAGACACACCAGAAAGCTGGCAGGAACAGGGCGTGCTGGCCTGTTCCAGGGACTCGGGAGCTCGAGTGGCCAGGGCACAGTGCAGCCTGGCTCCTCACAGGGGCCAGGAGTGGCATGGGGGAAGTAGGCCATCAGCTCCCATCTCACCAGGGCCTGGACATCAGTGGTTTTTCCTGGGCCCCCATTTTCAGTCCAGGCATCTCTTTGTGTTGGGACTGCACTCCGTAGCACTGGCATGGTGTGGGCCACGAGTTCAGACTGCACTGAGCAAGGACATCACGGTGCTTCCCAGGGGCTCAGATCTAGGGTTGGCCCAGGCCTGGGGTGCTGAGGGGGAGCCCAGCCAGCTCCACCACTGTCCCTGTGTCTGCGGCCTCCCTCTCCACTGCCTCTGTGCTCCCCCTGCGCCTGTCTCAGGCAGGTGGGAAGCCACAGCCAGGCTGTGGGGTGGTTAAGGGGTGTCCAGCCCGCAGGTTGGGAAAGGAGGGAGCCCGAGAAGTGGAGGAGGGCTGAGCCGCACCTGTGGGAGCTGCCCTGGGTCCTGGGACTGCTTGAGGCCGCCGCCCTCTCTCTGCTCTCCCTGGGGAGCTGCTGTGCTGGTTGGTTGTCCTCAGATTCTCATTGTGTTCACTTGAAAGACACAAAGGCATAGATGGCTAGAAGGCAGGAGCAGTGGGGAGGAGGCAGAGGGCGGTGAGAGCCTGGGAGCCTCCCTGGCCTGGGAGATTTTGTGGGCCTTTATCCTATTTGTGGAGGTGAAGGAACCCGCTGAAGCATTGTGAGCAGTGACCCTTTTTGTCTTTCTTTTAGAAGGACGTCACCCAGTGGTGGCCAGCAATGCCCACCGTGGGAGAGCAGGCGAGGAGGCTCAGTGGGCAGGCAGCCCTGGCATGCTCCCATGACAGCAGTCTCACAGGGCTATCTGCTTGTGGGTTTTGTTACAGAGCCTCTCTAAGGGAGGGCCTGTGGAGGCCAAGGACCAGGGGGAGTTTGTCCTGCACCTCCGGCCGGCGGCACAGCCCCCACAAACCTTATCTATGCACCAACTCCAGAGGAAGTTGAAGGAGGCAGCCAGAAAAATCCTCAGCCTCCGCCTGGAAAAGGAGCAGCTCATCGAGATGGGGAACAGGCTCCGTGCAGAGCTGGGACGCCATGAAGGTGGGTCTGGGAAGTGGGGGCCATGGCCTACGTACGGCCAGGTTCTGGGTGTGCGCCTGGGGTCAGCGGGTGGGCTCTGGCCGCAGCCTTCTTAGGAAGGCCTGAGTGAGCGCAGGAGCCCCTCTGTGAGCGCAGGAGCCCCTGTGTGAGGAGAGCCTCGTCAAAGGCCACTGCACAGAGCAGGGCCTGATCTCAGCCACGGGCGCTCTAGGAACCCACTTAGCTGGCAGCATTTGTGAGAACAACGCCACAGGTTACCAAAGCAGCTGGCGTTTGTGTGTGGCTCTGTGGTGAGCAGCAAAGATGGCCAAAGACTTCTCTAGATAAAGGCAACAGTGTCTCCTGAGGTGGAGGCTGGATCTGTTGGACACAGACACCCGGGCTGACTTCCTAAGAAAGGCAAGGGACACTGGCTTCATGGCTGAGTGTTTCAGTGAGTCACGCATCTGTTCATCTATCCATCTGTGCACCTACCTATCCATCCATCCATCCAACCATTTATCCCACCCACCCATCCATCTACCCATCCATTCACCCATCTACCCACCCGTTCATCCATTCACCCACTCATCCATCCACCTACCTTCCATCCACCCATCCACCCACGCACCCACCCACCTATCCACCCAACCACCCATCCATCCTTCATCCACCCACCCACTCATCCATCCACTTGTTCATCCACTCATCCACCTACCTATCCATCTGCCCACCCACCTATCTACCTACCCACACACCTATCCATCCATCCATCTATCCACCCAACTACTTAACCCACTTATCATCCCTTCACCCACCCACCCACCCATCCACCTATCTACCTACCCACACACCCACCCATCCATCCATCCTTCCATTCATCTATCCATGCATCCACCTATCCATTCATCCATCTGTTCATCCATCCGTCCATTCATTCATTCATCTAGCCACCTACCCATGCACCCACCTATCCATCCATTCATTTAACCACTTATTCCACCTACCTATCCATCCATTCACTTACCCATCCATCTGTTCAACCATCCAATCTTCCACACCCATCCACCCACCTACCCATTCGTATATCCATCTAGCCATCCAGTAGAGGAGCCCCTGCTGGGTGCCAGATACTTTCTGCCTTCTTCAGTTCCTATGTCACCAGGCCCAAATCCAGCTAAAGAGATGTCTCCTTGGCTGGGCTCATTGGCACGCTTATAATCCTAGCTACTCAGGAGGCTGAGGCCAGGGAATTGCTTGAACCTGGGAGGCGGAGGTTGCAGTGAGCTGAGATCACGCCCCTGCACTCCAGCCTGGGCTATGGAGCGAGACTCCATCTCAAAAAAATTCTGAAGTTTTACAAACCACCAAGGCATGGAAGGTCAGTGATCCACAGATTAGAACACCATTCCATTGTAAAACATCTCTAAGGAAAAGCGTCAAAGAGAAAAAGATAACGGACTGAGAAAATGTTTGTAAGATACCTGGTGATAAAAAGAGTCAATACCTCTGATGGAGCAGCTAGAGATCACAGATGCTGGGTGGGAGGGCAAGTCCCAGAAGAAACCTCTGTAACTGATGAGGACCTCGCTGGGCTCTCTGGGAACCCGGGAGCAGGAATTCAGCTGACAGCGATGTTCTTCTACGTCTCAGAGAGTCACATGCTGGGTGTTGAAGAGGGTGTGGGCACGTACCATCAAATGCCGATAGGAAGCCTTCCTGGAGAGCAGTTGGGCTGCACTGGTCCCATTTTTAAATGTTTGCACCCTTTGAATCAGCTATTTAAAAGAGATCCTGGCCGGGCGTGGTGGCTCACGCCTGTAATCCCAGCATTTTGAGAGGCCAACGCAGGTGGATCACCTGAGGCCAGGAGTTCAAGACCTGCGTGACCAACATGTGAAACTGCGTCTCTACTAAAAATAGAAAAATTAGCCGGGTGTGGTGGCGCGCACTGTAATCCCAGCTACTCTGGAGCCTGAGGCAGGAGAATCACATGAACCCAGGAGGTGGTGGTTGCAGTGAGCCGAGATCGTGCCACTGTACTCCAGCCTGGGTGACAGAGTGAGACTTCATCTCAAAAAAAAAAAAAAAAAATCCTATCCTGACAGACATGGAAACGATGTATGTACAAGGGCATTCTTAGCAGAATGTTTGCAACAGCAAGGACATAACTCAGAGTGATCTGAATGGGAACAATCCATCCTGAGGTGCTGGAGTCCAGACCCTGGAATGCCGTGCGGCCGTCGAGGTGCCAGGGTGAGCCAAGCCCTCACAGTGCTTTCCACACAGTCACCATGCAGGCCCGGCTGCCCACTAAGCTCCAGTCCGCTGTGGACTGACGCTTTTGTTGACTACTCTAAAAGTGTGGGGTGGTTCCTAACTACACTGAAAGCCCCTAGCGCTTATTCTCATTTTCGGTACCATGTCACATGGGCCTGCTGAGCACACTGCTGCATAGCAAGGTCTGGATGTGTCATCATGGAAAAGCAGCAGCCTGCAGGGGAATATGTTTAGACCAGCAAGCCAGCGCACAAAAGGGCATGTGTGTGTGTTCGTGCATATGCGTTTGTATGCGAGACTGTGTGTGTGCACACGCATTTGTATGTGAGACTGTGCACATGTGCATTTATATGAGACTGTGTGCACACGTGTTTTTGTGCAAGACTGTGCACACATGCGTTTGAGACTGTGTGCACAAACGTTTGTATTTGAGGCTGCACACGTGTTTGTATGCGAGACTTTGTGTGTGCACATGCATTTATATGCAAGACTGTGCACGTGTTTGTGTGCGAGACTGAGTGTGTGCACACGCATTTGTATGAGACTGTGCACGTGTGCATTTATGTGACTGTGTGTGCACGCGCATTTGTGTGCCAGACTGTGCACACATGCATTTGTATGACTGTGTGCACACACGTTTGTATTTGAGACTGTGTGTGCACATGTTTGTATTCGAGACTGTGCACACATTTGTATGAGAGACTGTGTTTGTGTGTGCACATGTATTTATATGCAAGACTGTATGCGCGTGCGTTTGTGTGCGAGACTTGTGCACACACATTTATGAGCGAGACTGCACACGTGTTTGTATGTTAGACTGTGTGTGTGCATCCACACACCCACAGGGAGGACTCAGTGGAAGTTTGTCCATTTCTTGGCAATTTAGAAAGGAGAATGAGAAGAGACTAATGGTTACTTTTGGCTTTGCTTTGATGATACCAAACATACTCCATTTCTTTCTTTTTGGGAAGGCCATCCTCCCCACCTCAGCACTGAGTCCTCAGCTGGCCATGGTGTCGTGCACCTGTAGTTCCAGCTACTTGGGAGACTGAGGTGTGAGGATTGCTTGAGCACAGTACGTCAGGGCTGCAGTGCGTATGATCATGGCATGGTTTCTGCTGTGAGGAAATCATGATTTCATGCCTGTGAAGAGTCATGGCACTCCAGCCCGGGCAACATAGGAGACCTAGTGTCTTTAAAAATTTTTAATAACTAAAAAGATGAGTCCGTATTGCAAAGGTTTAGGAAAGACTGGTCTATCTGCATTGTTTTTTGTTGTTGTTGTTTGTTTGTTTTTGTTTTTGTTTTTGTTTTTGTTTTTGTTTTTTTGGGACGGAGTTTCGCTCTTGTTACCCAGGCTGGAGTGCAATGGC